TAAATAAATAAATAAATTTTAAAAAAGGGGGATATTATACGTGATCTCTGTTAAGCGTCTTCTGCCTTCGGATAGGGTACCTTCCTGAAATGATACCTCTTCTCTCGCTCAGAGGTTGACATGCAGCTCTCAAAAAGGAATATTATACATGTTTTCTGTTCAGTGTCTATGACCTTCAGATAGGATACCTTGATACCAGGGAGTGTCTTTTCTAGCTCAGACCGGTTGACGTGCAATGACCCGCCATTGCTTATGGTCGCTAACTGCTGCTGCCGTCAATCACTCTGTCACGTACTCAGGCCAGTCCACGCCTTGATGTTATCGATCCACATTGTTCTTTGTCCACCCTACACCCTTTTGCCCCACATCTTGCCGTCGAGTATTTCCTTAATAATGGTCGGGTGGCGTTTCGTACGACCAAAGTATTGTACTTGTCGACATTTTATTTTGTTCAACATGTTTTATCTTGCGAGAAAAATCAGACACACCTCAGTGTTTATCTTGTTTTGCTTGTTTTTGTTTTTTCCCCAATGAATTCTGGCCAATCTACGATAGGAAGTGAGCGTCACACACAGCCCTGGTTGGCCCTGACAGGCGAGGTCGGCGCTACCCGCCGCGCTCCTAAATAATCTAAATGGTGTCCACGGGGGAGTCTAGTAGCAATCCCCCCCCCCCAGTCCATCCCTCCCCACTCGAATTTGAGTAAAAAGAAGCACGTCGACATAATAACGATCATTCATTGCAGGGGAAAACGAGACAGATACCCCCCCCCCTAAAAAAACAAACAAACAAACAAACAAACAAACAAAAACAGACGGAAAGAAAAACTGAGGGACCTACAAGTGGCAATCTCCAATCACCCACCCATACCCTCTACAACACCAACACAACAATTAATTGCTGTTTTGCAGTCTCCCTCCATCCAATTCCAGTTCTTCTCCCACGGCCTTCTAACAAACAGAACAATAGAGATGGTGTTGTGCTTACCCTATTCGTGTAACAGAAGGAAACAAGCCGACTCTTTTTATCTGGTTGCTCGAAATCCATCATTACAGAGGTTGCTGTGATGTGCGGGTTCTTTATAAATAACAAGATGCTATATGCTTCCTTGGAAGTTGAGATGGTTTCAGAATGCTATCAGATTTGCTGGGGTAATATTATAGATTGTAAGTATTGCATAAAGATTGCTGTTGATCGGGAATTTCAGCTTTTCAAATGCATTTATTATTAATAATAATAAATATCGTGAACCAGAATGCACTATAACTAGTATAAAGTACAGTTGAACCTGCCCTAACAGTCACCTTCTATCTAAAACAATCACCTGTACAAACGACCACTTCCGACTTCTTCCATTGTGTGTTTGTCTGTGTGTTGTTTTTTAAAATTTCATTTCGACTGCACTTTGAGCTGACATTTGTGCCTACTCTCATCACTTAATCCAGTGACCTTTGAGCACGCCCCTTTCGGAAATTACAAGTGTTTCTTTGTTGTAATGAATGTCAAAGATGATGATGATGATGAGGAGGAGGAGGAGGAGGAGGAGGAGGAGGAGGAGGAGGAGAGGAAGACGACAAGTTTACTATGAAGGAAACTACTACTGATTTTTTTTTTTTAGAAAAGGGCGGAAAAAAACAAAGAAAAATATTTTTAAAAGAAATTGTATCTTCGAAATTCCTGAACGTTAGAAAAAGTCTTTAAAAAACAACAACAAAGACAGTCAGAGCTTGACACCAAGGACAAATAAGACCATTATGACTGTGCGTGCATGAGAGTGTATATATGACAGTATGTGCTCCACTGCTGCATAACAAGGAAGGTGTTAGATTGGAACCCACAGGGTAAAAGATCAAGGGGAAGACCACGTGGAAACTGGAGAAGAGTCACGGAAATGGATGTATAGAAAAGTGGGAAGACGTGGAGTGACATCAAGCGACCAGCCCAGGATAGGGAAAGGTTTGAAAGTGTTTGTTCGTGGCATATATCCTGATCCAGAGTGAGAAAGGCAATGATGATGATATGTTCCACTGACCGTCAGAAGACAGCTCCCCGTCCCCGGAGTCCTCCCGTCCGTCCCCTGACTCCCGGGTCACCAACAGCTCACTCGAGCCGGACACGCCGTTCTCCACACTGAAATATACAGAAAGGGGACGATGATGATGAAGACGAAGATGATGATGACGATGATGATGATGATGATGATGATGATGATGATGATGATGATGATGATGATGATGATGATGATGATGATGATGATGACGACGACGACGACGACGA